AATCATGACAGTTGGTGGTTTGATGCCTGGCTTACCAAGTCCACAAAGTATCCTTGAGCAAGATGCTAAACCCCATGGAAGCGTACGCATGAATGGTTAGACTACACTCAAATAAAAATGCTGAATGAATGGGTGAATTAGACTTATTCTAGAAAGCTTTGAGTGCTCAGCTAGAATAGAAAAGTGCTGTTTAAGTATCATACATAAGTACCAGAACTATTTTCCTCAACTTAGAGTAAAGAATGAGTGGGTTAGAAATTAATTGGAACTTTTAGATAGAGGCTTGGAACGCTGGTTTCAGAGAGGACAGACAATGAGCTTGTTGTTATCAACCATTTATTTAATGGAAATGGGTTAAGGCTTTTCTTCCATCTCTAACCCAACTTTAAAAAAAGCACTAACAAATGAGACAATATGTAAAAAGGTTCATTTGTGGATTAGAGTCAGGTGTGTTTAGAAATCAGACCTTTCTTAGAGGGCAGGGTAGTAAGGTCAATAAATAAATAAATAAATGAATTAATTCTCTATTTTCCAGAAGCTAAAGATTATTATCAAAGGAATGTATGTGACAGTACCACAAGAGATGTTATTATCTTTAGAAAGAATGATAGAGTTGAAGAGTGGTAATGGGGACTCACTTTTATTCTTAAATCTTTTATTTTGAAATTCTTTGTTGTATCCGTTGTAAAGTAAATCCAGTGATGCTGGTTACAGTGATGGTATTCCATCTACAACATAAACCATATGTAATTTACTCTTATCATGTTATACCCTGAAGTGGAGTGATGTAACACATATTCTGTTATGTTTATGTGTGAAATACGATTATAGAAAATGCAAAAGCCAGTTTGTGTATTGGAAACACAGATTTAAGTGCCTTTGTTAGTAAAAGGAGGAAATCCCTTTACAGCTTTTATTAAAGTGTTCTTTGAAAAAAAATCACTCACTACTACCAAAAAATTGAAAACAACAAAAAAGATCTTTTTTCATTCTAATCATTGGTCAGTTGGTGCTCAAAAATCTACTGTACAGTACGAAAGGGGGAAAAGGACAACCCTAGTGGAGTAAACACCATGGTGTGATTTAGACCTTTGATGCTTGGCAAACACTATAACAGCTTAATGGACTAATTGGTGAGTGTGGCTGCCAGAGACTGGCAGTGTCTCCAGAGCTTCACCAGACCTGGTTCTGGCTTCTTTGTTGTCTGAAGCTGTGTCACCACAGTTCAAAATCATACCTACCCCAGTCTTACACCAATGGTTTGTCTTATTCGGTTTTTTTTTTTTTGGTTTTTTTTGTCTCACTGTTAATGAGTTATTTCACTTCAAGGCATTTCATTTGCATTTTTATTAGAAACTCTTGACCATACATAATTGAAGCTAGATGGGTTGATCATGTAGGGCAGCAGGGTACATCTCACAATAAGAATCTGTTTATACAGGCTATACACTTAGTAGTTTTAATAGTTGCTTGTGTCATGTACATTTGCTAATGGTGTATTGGTTTTTTTTTTAAGCAATTGAAAAGACTTTTAAACTATACAAAAACACGTAAGCTGAGGGGTAAGAGTACATACCACATGGCTGCAGATGCCATCAGCTGAGTGTCCCAGTTGAATCTTGCTTCTGCACTTTTCCTGTATCTTTAACTGTGTAAATGAATATTTGCACAGAGAACACAAAGGCTTGTCCAAGGTCATTGTTTGAGGTGTGACTCACATGTGACCCTTAGCTGCTTAGCTGAGGCACGAATAAAAAATGTGTTTCCTGCTTTTTGTAAGTGTTGTTTTCGTATCTTTGAGGCTTTGACTCTCTTTGCCGAAGGCCGTCACTGATTTCAGTTCGGGCACTCGCCTTTTCTGTTGTCCACAATGTACAACAACTGAATAAGCAGAGTAGAGATACTACATGCATTATGTAGAAAATGTATGAACTAGTAAATTTTAAAAAATGCACTAATACACTACTTACTACTACTTCATTAACTACTTCATTAACTTTGTGAGATTTTACTGGAGGTACATGAAACAGGTATTCAATAGAAGACCCTTAGTTGACCCTCTTTTTCAGTGTATCCCATCCTTTTTTTGTACAGTTAATTTGTTTGTGGGTTTTTTTGTGTCTATGTTGTGTGCTATCTTTAGTCATCAACTTTCTGATAAGTGCAATTGGCAAATATACAGAATTTATTTAATGTGTCTGAGTATGAAAAATGTTACAGCAAATTCAGTCAAACTGAAAAAATAAAGTAAATAGCGAAATATGAAAATAATGCAGGAGGTCTGCAGCACTGCTTGTAGGCTTTTGAATCAAATCTAAGTTTTGTTTAGTAATTTTACCAACTTCCAAGCCTTTTTAATAAATTGTGACCCTACCTGCCATTCCCCATGTTTTACAAGTTACAGACATACAGTACTACCATACTGTTTACTATGCCTATATATTTAATATTGGCTTCAGTACCAGGCTGTATATATATTTTTTCCATATTGTAAACAAATATTTTAAAAAAGCCACAAATGTCAATAACACCTTCACCTTGTGGCTATATTGTCACAACCAAACTGAATTGCAGTTTAGAAAAAAAAAAAAAAAAGCCTATTTGTCACAATGGAGTTAATGAAAGCACTGATCACTGCAATGTTTTGTTTTGGGTTTTTTTTTTTTTGTCAGATGAGATGTCTTTCTGCCATTACAATATTGGTTCTACCCTCAACATGTTCATGCATTAGCTGATTGCTTTGCATTATTTACCAAAGTAATTATCAGCACAGTTTGAGTGTGCATAGAGGCTAAGACAGTTATGCAAGCTGATGGCTGATGGTGCTATTTAAATTGCAGGGGGTTAATTTAATTATATACTGGGGGAAAAAAGATATTTAAAAAATCTATTTTGGACACTATTAAAGACAACATGCTACCAATAGAGATGTATCTACAGTTCTATAAATTGATTAAGGTGTTAATATCACTGATTTATATTTGCTTAAAAGCACTTGCTTGATCATTGTCATATATGATGCTTATGATTTAGGTTTCCATCTGTTTTGCATTCAAATGATTTAAGTCTCTTGTGATCTACCTATATCAATCATTGAGAGGAAATATACAGTACTTTAACGTATAGTAATATACAATAAAAAGAAATGCTGAATAGCTTTGTACATAACAGGCATTTGATTAGCTGTATTTGCTTTTTTGTTTGCAGTAATGCTGTAATCAGAACTAGTGATAGTTGTGATAAAAAGGAAAAAAAAATTGCAGGGAGTTGTAGTTATGCCCATTTGTAGATATATCATTAGAGCAAAGCTGTGGGTAGAAGTGTTGTAGATTTGTGTAGCTTCCTTAAGAAATTGGGAAAAAAAAACTTTTTTACACACTGATTACAGATTTTACACACAGTATTGCATTCTAAAGTTCATTTTGAAATTGAAAACATTCTCACAAATGCAGCCTATATAACTCACAGATTTGGTTAGTTTTTGTTAGATTTGTTTTCTGAAACATAATAAAAAATCTGATTTAAAACTACATATTCAATTTACTACATACTTGCTACTTACTAAATCAGTGCATATTCTTGCCCCCCCCCCAAAAAATAAACAAACAAACAAACAAACTCATGCATTTTGTTGGCTGTATACTTTAGTTTGCTGTAATTGCTAAGAGCTGAAAAGTCAACGGAGCTCCAGGTGAGTACAGTCTGCAGTTTTCATTGATGATCTGCCTTCCTTCTGACAAATCTCCCTGTGTCTGCTGTCGAAAATAGGACCAGCTTATTCCTTTTTATCTAGGAGTTCCACATACAGAATGTTTTAGCCTTTGCCCAGAGATGCCCTGTAAAATATAGCTACATATTTAGCTAGAATATAAAGTAATAGGTTTGGAGTGTGACTGTTTTTGAGGTTGTGGACAGGTGTCTTTTATACTGATAACAAGTTCAAACAGGTGCCATTAATACAGGTAACAAGTGGAGGACAGAGGAGCCTCTTACAGAAGTTAGTTACAGGTCTGTGAGAGCGAGAAATCTTGCTTGTTTGTAGGTCACCGAATACTTATTTTCCACCATAATTTGCAAAGTTCTTTAAAAAAATCTGTGAATGTGAATTTGTGGATTTTTTCCCCCCTAATTTTGTCTCACACAGTTGAGGTATACATAGGATGAAAATTGCAGGGCTCTCTCATCTTTTTAAGTGGGAGAGCTTGCACAGTTGGTGGCTGACTAAATACTTTTTGTCCTACTGTACATTGCAGAGCAATATCCTATAAACATACAAGTTTGCATCCAGATATGCTTTTCATTTTTAAGGAATTTGGAAAAAGAAAAAGCTCACTTTGAGATTGTGGGCTGTGTAGATTAAAAAGGGTAATTTTACTGATTTTATAATTACATGGAAAAAGTATAAAAAAGTGAATGTACTTTAGAAGCATTTTTGTTCTTGCCCACTGTGATGATTAATAATTTCACCACATCACTACGTATCCATCTGGGTTTAGTACACAAACAAACTGTAGTAGTTTATATGCAAATTATTTCTGCAATGAATGTTCAGTGATTAAGCCATTTACTCTGTTTGTTATGCATCATTTATATGAATAGAATGTGTCTAATGCAGCAGCTCTAAGATAAAAACCTCTTTTGTGTCAAGTTTGTCTGTAAGCTGCTTTTGCAAGATCTCGTTTGAATTATGTGGACATTTTGGAAGCTGGAGTTGCTGTTACTGCTCAGTTACATTGCATGAGTTAAACACAGGCGTGGGAAAATAGTAGAAATATCTGTGTTTCTATGCTTGGATGTGCTATTGTCCTAGTTTTGACTATTACTGTGGCAACTTAGTGATTAATTTCAATACATCATGTCATATCATGTCACACACAAACATTTTTTATTTTTTGGGACAGTCAAATAATTCTAAGAACAAAGAAAACATTCACAACTGCAGACAAATAGAGGCTTATGTAATTCAAATAAGTACTGATCTTGTTTTTCTTAACTTACAGGTGCAACAAAAGGGCCTGTCGCACTTGGCTTTCTCTACTCTTCTGACAATCTCTACGTCAGTCTTTTGATAGTGGGAGAGAAGATAGTTTCTCTGGATCCAGCCTGACGCCTATTCCAAAGTTCCATCCCACCTAATCAGGTAATGACTCCGCCGTATGTGTAAACAAACATAATGCCAGACTTGGTTGCTGGTTTTTTTGCTGTCGGTATGATAATGATTAAAAAGTAAATTGTTACTTTGAAACAACTCACCAAATCTAAACGAATTAAGCCAAAACCAGCCAAACCTCATCTACTATCGTGCTAAGCCTGTTCAGAATCAAATTCATCTATTCAAACATACAAGATGAATAACTGTCAAAAAGAGGAAAAAGAAACATTTACAACAAGAGAGAGCTGGAGAGAAAGAATGCCTGTTACCTCCACAGATGAAATGGCTGTGTGGGTGGATGTACATGTGAGTGCAGGCTGCTAGGAGCTATGAGTGGGAAGTGGGTACTGAGTGGGAAGAGAAGAGCTGCTTTAGTGAGACAATCAGCACCAAGACCCACTGAAAAGCAGTCACGCTTTCATGGCTTTTCTTTGTTTTCCGTGTTCCAGGTAGTGAGGTTGGCTATGGATGATTGGTAAAAGTGTCTGTCTGTATAGAGCATGTTTGTATGTATCGAGGTCAGCTGATGGTGTGTCCCATTATTTCTCACATAATCATGATGTAGTTTTATAGAAGACTCCATAGAAACAGGATAAAATAGACTCACTGGACAAAAAAAATATTGTTTAAAAGTGACAGTAAGCCTCAAGAACTCATGTAAATGGACCTGCTGCTTTATTTTGGTTTCGGCTGGTTTATGCCACAATATGATTCACATATATTGTGTAAACAACAAAAACAAAATGCTTATGTGCACGTATGATAGGCACTATTTTGGAGTATTTCTAGTGGAAAGGGACACTGCATATGTATACATATTCACTTTTTATATATTGCGCATTTAAGCATTTGTATCCAGTAGTAATGACGACATTGTTGTTGTTTATATAGAGAAGTATTATTTCATGCTGTTCAACATGTTTTTTTTGCTCGTGCGCCAAAAATCACGAATCACAAAAATCCTCAGATGTAAAGTATTTGCTGCAGCATTTAGTCTGCACCTACAAAAGCCTACAAAACGTCAGGTGCTGTAATAAGGTCTTAAAAGCCTGGTAAAGCTGATATAAGATAGGTCTCTTTTTAGGTTTTAGAAAAAAGGCATTATTAAAAAGAAAAAAACCCACAGTGCTGATGAATTTTAACATTTTGGTTTCTTCTGTGACTTTTCTACAACTTTTACAACAATTATTCCCCAAATCTGAAAGTACTACCTTGATGCATTTTTATGCATCATTAGAAGCTTTTACTTAGGAAACTGAATAAAACTGTGTTACCCATGCTAAAGTATAGCCAGCTGTGTGACTGCCAAGTGTACTCTGCCATATAAAATACTTCTAAAGGTACAGTTATACACTCTTGGAAAGCTGAGAGTTAGATGAGAGGATTCACCAGTTGCCAGTTTGTCTGAAGACTGAAAAACCCGGAAACAGCTACGTTTGCTCAAGTGGTGACCTGCAGTTACCGTATTCCTTTGAAGAGCTACTTGACGCTGGCTTCAAAAGTTAGCCAGTCTCGACAGACTTTAATGTTAAATTGCTCAGCTTCATTCATGAAATTCAAATGTTTGTAATATGATACAAAAACAGTTTTAGATTTTTTTTGAGGACTTGATTTTAAGTGTAGATACTTTATATTGACAAGTGTGCCAACATATGTAACTGCATCCTGTACTGTCCACTAGGATTCACCTAGTGCACCTATTTCAGCTGTATTTGTGGTATTGGTGCTCTTTGGTGGATGTTGCTGCAGATGGCTGACCCTCCCTGAGCCTGTTCTGCCCGAGGTTTCTTCCTGTTAAAGGGAGTTTTTCCTTCCCTCTGTTGCCAAGTGCTTCCTCACAGTGGGTCATCTGATTGTTGGGGTATCCTCTGTATTATTCTAGCGTCTTACAATATAAAGCCCCTTGAGGGGACTGTTGTTGTGATTTGGCACTATGTAAATAAAATTGAATCAGATTGAATTCTAATTATCGGGTCAATAAAATTTATCGATGCAGCTTGCTATTATTAGCTAATAACCTAGCGTTTTATATTCCTGAATCCCAGAATCAAGACTGCAAATGACATGACAGCTAAACCAGAAGCATCAAAATATGGGGTTCACAATCCAGTGGGCAATCTTTCAACAAAAAAGTTATATCTCATCTGTCAAGTATCAAAATCTCCTGTTTTATATGGAGTTATGAGTGGGAGCAGTTCCCAACGATTTACTGGTCGTAGCCAAGAAGTAATCTGGCACATAACCCCCTACCAATGAATTGCTATTGTGATAAGTTTTGTTCTCTCTCTATCTCTCTATCTCTCTATCTCTCTATCTATCTATCTCTCTATCTATCTATCTATCTATCTATCTATCTATCTATCTATCTATCTATCTATCTATCTATCATCTATCTATCTATGCTATCTATCTATCTATCTATCTATCTATCTTATCTATCTCTATCTATCTATCTACTCTATCTATCTATCTATCTATCTATCTACTATTCTATATATCTATCTATCTATCTATCTAATCTATTAGCTATCTATCATATACTATCTATCTATCTATCTATCTATCTATCTATCTATCTATCTATCTATCTATCTATCTATCTATCTATCTACCTATCTGATCTACTATACTACTACTTCTGTACAAAAAAATGCTAGTTTTATATTATATTGATTTCCCCTCATATCAGACTATTTGTTGAACAACTATGTGTATGATCTCATTCTCTAATAACTGCGCGCTTAACACGTCTACTCGCATTCGACCTTGAACATGCAACATAAAAGAGCGCACATACTTGGGGACACAAGAGCTTGAATCCCTAGCCTCTCTTGCTCTCGGGCTTCTGCAGCTAGATGGCCCTCAGAGGAGAGCCCTGCAATGCAGCATCTGTGTGACTCACACATGCACGGACACGCACGCACCGCGCCACCACACCAAACCACCCACCAAACACCACACACACACACACACACACACACACACACACACACACACACACACACACACACACACACACACACACACACACACACACACACACACACACACACACACACACACACACAGCGAGATGGCAGCATGTAAAAGTGCTCAGATCGTAGGAGGGAAATGAGGTGGTAGAGAGAGCACAGTGAGGAGAAAGATGAAGCCTGATGAAAGGTGGAGGAGAATGAGTAGGAGGAACATTGAGTGTAGGAGGTGGAGGAAGGTGAACAGGAAGAAAAATAACAGGTAGGAAGAAAATTTCTAAGTGGAAGGATGATAAGAAACCAGACAAAAGAAGAAGAAGCAGATAAGAGCCATGGAAATGACAAATGGACTATTTAATTAGCTCGACGATTACATTGTCTGGAATGAATCTTTATGGCTGATGTGTTCATAGAGAGTTCATCACTCTCACTTCATCTATTTAAGCTGGACTCACATTGTGATTCACACTTGGAGAATAATTGTCTTGAAGCAAATGAAAATAAACTAGAATATTTCCACAGCTTCCAAGTTTATCTTCAACATGCTTCTGATTGGTGCATTAGATTTTGCTTTAACTAATTGCTGTTTTCATAGTCAAGCATTATTATACAGGAACAGCATGTAATTAGTGTTGAAACTACTCATAATTTGCTGAGCAAAGATAATTCATATTAGTTTATAAAAACTCCCAAATAATAAATACATAACAATACTCAGCAGTAATCCCATTAGTAGTTTTGAACTCACCAAGCGCTATTTTTATAGTGGGCAGGTGATAGTGGAGAAGGACAGGAGCAGAGCCTTTCAGCCTCTGGGAGAACATGCAGTTTCACTTTACTGAGCTCTTTTTGCAATATGACAAGTGACAGATGCATTTAAGTATGAATTACAATTCAAAAATTATGTTATTCCTCTGAACGGATTATATTTATGTTTTACCCACAAGGCACGCTTACTTTTTTGAGGCCGTGAGGATGCCCGTATGGAGCAAGTTTTAAATCAAGAATGTGTATTTGTGTTTTGACTCTCAGTTATAATAATGTGCGCAGTAGGCTATAGTTTTCTTTTCTCTGCCTGTCTTGTATTGATTGTGCCTCACAGGACAAATATGCATAGAAAATGTGACAGTGACTGTTAATTATTATTAATATGCCCTATAGCAGGAGACTGGAGCCCAGATCTCCAACACTGTAGCTCAGTGAAAGTCAGTCAGACACTGTTTAAACTGTACTCCTTTACAGTGTAACTGTGCATGTTTCTGTGAATGTGAATTATGCATTTCTTTTTTTTTTTTTCATGTAGGAAGCAAATAAAAACAGGCTCCAGGCTTTGAATCCTCTGACTTTATAATGATTGGCTTTTATTGTCAGCAGAAACAGCAGTTAATAACTCAAGAAGGCAACCCCAATATTTGCTTTACTTACATGGCACCCACTATCCCTCCTCTGAATAACCTCTTTCCCGAAAAACAGTTTTTAAATTAGATGGGGGAGTCAGGGGAGGAAAAGTACCAAGAATGGTTTATTCTGAGGACACACAGAGGAAAATTGCCCCCTTTCAAGCTTTCTGATTTAAAAAATGTAAAACAACCCACTGCTTTCCAGTAATACTTTAGCTAGAGCTCTGTGCATAAACAGCTCAAGATATTTACTGGATTAATTTCAACATCTCACATCAGTGGTGTTGTGGAAAAAGCAGCTTGTCACTGTTGATTCATTCCTTTTTAATAATCATTAGACGTAGGTGAAGGGAGCAGAGAGGAGTAAAATATCGCCCTCAAAATTGCTTTGAGGCTGAATAACAATGTCAGCGCGTGGAAGGCTGTAACAGGAGATGTAATACGCCTTAGTTTGACATTATGAAGTAGATATCAATTATGGATGTGCAGTGGAAAAAAAGTCTAGATATGAATAAAAAACTGCAGATATACACATTGTGCATGTTTACAGATTACATAACGACCACTTTGATGGTTTTGTTTTGATTTCTGTCTGAATATCCTTGTTGCTAGTGTT